GTTTACAGAAGTTGGGTTTTTTTGCATTAAATCTGCGATACTCTGAAACTACAATGTTAATGTGATAAACTCAATATGGACAAAAAATGACTTAGGTTGTTTCTGAAATAATCGATTCAATTATGGTTTGGGATGTCTAAATCTGCTAGTAATTCATTATTTTGTTGTACTGCTTGCCATAGTTCCTCTAGCTCACTAAGCCGATTTTCAATGTATTCTTCCGTTTTTCTTTTCCTGGAATCCTTTTTGAATTTGTTAATAGCTGTATTATTTGTTTGCCCAATTTTTCTTATTTCTGGGATAATTTGTTAGCTTTTTCCATTTTATTTAATTTTTTCTACCGTAGACTCTTCTTGACAACACTGTATTTTTTTTGTATAATTTTTCAAAATTCTCTAAACTTTTACTCGAAGGACCATGAATAGATTTCAAAGATAATTGTTGTAATTAATACCACAAGATGGTTTTCATGGATCTCTTTATTATCTTATTAACACCTACATTTATAATATCACAAACAATAACAATAAAAATAACAATTACAATTATTTAATAATTTAAATACACATTCAAAACATATTATTCCAATTTCGACATCGTTCAATGTTTTGCAATTAGTTTTTTTTTTTATTAAGTCAGCATTTTTATTATAATTTACACATCGAACTAGATACGAAATTGGAACGCTGTATGAAATTAAACATTTTAAATAAATAAAATAAATAATTTATATACAGGATGTTGATTTTATTATGTTCAAATCTGAACATTAAATGATCTCTAACTTGGCAACTACGCATTTCCCTACCACGAGATTTGGGTTTTTGTTTAGTCGGTAACATGACAATCGTACCCATGGCAACATTTTTTGCATAACTTATTTCAGTTAAATGAAATTAAACAAAAACCGTAATCATTTACAACTTGGCAACTTCGCATTTCCTCACCATAAGATTAGGGTTTTTGTTTACTCATAGCCCATCACAACTGTTATTATGACAACAGTTTTTTCATAACAGATTTCGGCTTATCGAAAGTTAAGCCGTTTTGCCTTTCCAACTCTACTCTAGCAGTTTCTTGCTGTTTTAAATTAGTTTTTTAATTTTCTTGTTATGCTGGTTTATCCCTTGCTTAAGGTTTTCTTCAATTTGTAGCATACCATTCATAATTTTCACCTCTCCTTGCTACGCCTTTCCTTTTTTCTTTTTCTTCCTTTCTGCGTCTTTCGTTTTCTTTTTATTCTTCTTCCTTCCTAGGCTTCTCTTTTACCTCTTCTTGCCTTTCCTTTTCCCCTTCTTCCTTCGTCCTGCATCTTTCCTTCTCCTCTTTCCCCCTTTATTTTCCTCTTCTATTTTAAAAAACCTTGCCGAGGGCTTGAAGTATCCATCTCTTGTTTCGTACGCAGTGGATTTAGTATTTACTATGAATAAAATGTTTTAGAAAAATTTTATTTTGTATCCGACTGCTGTCACCAATGTTACGCTGGTTTTTGTTAACTCAGTTTATTAACAGCGCAACTTTTGCAATTCAACTATACAACTATAAACTTCATCGTACAACGTCTATCATAAAACTGAAACTGGGACGTTAACATCATCGACTTCTCGATCTTTCTCGAACTTTCCAGATTATTTTTTACACGGAATAACATTTCTAGACTCTTCTCTCTTTTTCTTTTATGTGTACTTCTACTTATGATAACCGCAGCACATTGAAGGGTGATGGGATTTTATTCGTACATTTCCTGTAACAGCTGCAGGCTACTGCAGGGTACAGGATAACAATATTGTTTCAAAATACTGAATAAAATATATCCCTTTTATTAATTGAAAATGAAAATAAGCACTCTAAAGCACCAATAATATCTAATTATGACAAACCGCAGGACACGTCAACTTTTTAGGTAGATTTTAATGCACATAGGCCTAGATTGGATAGTAATCGTTAAAAAATTATTTATATAAATTACATCAGTATTATTGTTTAGCAATAAAAAGGACCAAAATAATCTCTTACGGTATTTCAAACCAATTTAGGTTTTACTTGATGAAAAATCAATCCCATCCAAAACCAGTTATTACTATTGACAAATAGATTTACTAAATTGAGACATATTTTTTATTGGGTCTCATAATAATTAAAAATCTAAATCAAAAATAGTCTTGCTTCAATAACTCACACACTTTTTCCTTTAAAAACAAAACGATATTGTGCTGTAACGCAAAATTATCAATACAACATAATTACTACGATTTTTCATTTTCGATATGTTTTTGTGTCAACTTGTCCAAAATCACTCGCTTGTGAACAATTCAATTCGATTTGATTTGATGGAAGAAAGCACAAAAACCGCGAGAAAAAACTCAATTAAGTAAAGCAATGGTTTGATACCTGAATGAACGTATTTTGAGGAAGAGTAAATCAAGTGTGACGATACATTGTGCGTTCGGTAAATTTTGGAAGCAGAATCGGGTTTAGTGAAGAAAGATAGCAAACAAATTATTGTTTGTATTGAAAGAGGATTGGGATGTTAAAAAGTCACTAGGATTTTAAATTTTAAAAATTAAATGAAGTCCACCTTCCATCATTGTTTCATTCATTCAATATATCTTCAATATTTTCCTATCGTATAAAATGCAGTGTGAAGTCTTATGAAGTACGCCGTTGCCAGCTGTCGCTGTGCTGAAATAAGCAAAAAAACAGGTCCGGTCTCAGGCAAACTTCAACACCGATTTAAATTTTATCTCAAAATTTGTATGTTTAATAATAAATAATAAACAATGAATTTCCGAATTACAAGTTTATAAGTTAACCAATAATAGACAAATTTTACGCAATAGATAAGTCAGATAACTCAGAACTGTCGCCTACATTTACTCTTTTAGTAAGTTCATCAAAGTTTTCTTGGAGATTATCAGCAACCCACATTTTCTTTTTTGTTTTTTCTCTGACATGTGCAATAGAATTACGCCAATTTTATTTAGTGACATGTTCAAATGCTTCATCTATCAATGAAAAAACATCCTGTGTTTTAAAATTAAAGTTGTTCATAGCAATATAGCTCTTTGCCTAATTCTATACAATCTCGATCGGCTTCAGATCGTAATGATACAGTGGTAAGCGTAAAACAGTTACCCCGTATTTTACTTACAACAATTTCTTTAATCTTATATTTGTCGTATTGCTCTCTGTATGCATTGTATGTATATCACTTCTGCTTTGGACATCGCCCAGAGCGGACGTGTGTACATCATTCTGATCGAAAGTAAGGTTAAATTTTGAAACAGTTCAATCCATGACAAGAGCCCTAGTGCTCCGGTAAAAGTTTAAGTGCCGACGAGAAAATATCGTGACGGATACACGTCAACGCAGGTGAGGGCCCCAAACCTGCGCTAATACGTGTATAAATTGTGATATCGCCGCGCAGGATAAACGAGAACATTGGACAAAACCAGGTGCGCAGTGTGTCGATTGAGAGTTTCGGAGTGCCAAATAGAATCTGTTAAACAGTGTGAAAGCCCTAGCGCTCCGGTACAATAATAACATCCGACACGCAGACGCGAAAAAATCGTGTAGTGCACACGTCAACGCAGGTGAGGGCCCCGAACCTGCGCGAACGCGTGCGAAAACGCGATTTCGCCGCGCAGGACGTAAAATATCGACAGGAGCAAAGTGCACAAATCAGTGAAACAAATTCGGAGTAGTGCTTCTATCCATAATAACAAAATTGCCACCAGTAACAATAAATCACAAGTGCCACCTAAACTCGAACTAATAAACCGGTTAGGGACTTCGCGAAACCCGGCATCCTCACTCGGGGTTCCATGTCGGGTAAGTTATAAGGCTGATTCTTGCGCGTCAAGAATCAGCCTTTTTTTCTGCAAAATTTCTTTTCTTCTAACTTTTTTAAAAAGAGAAAAAGGCCGAAGGACAAAGTAACACAGAAATAGACCAAGAAATGGATGATTTGGACAAATCAATTAAATTAGCGGAATACGAAATACAAAAAACCGGAGGAATCTCGCGAAAAGGTTGAGTAAACATAACCCCACCGTCCGGACGCAGACATTCTATTAATTCCGAATCACCAGAAAAATACGAGGGATTTGACCCATTACCGGTTCCAACAAGAAAAAGGACGGCTCAACAAACCAACGAAGCCTCCAAAAAGGGAGACCAGAAAGAGGTCCCATAAGAACAAGATAATAAAAAATTAGAAAAAGAGGAAGAAGAAAAAAATAGAAGGAGGATACAAGAGGATAACCGCCTGAAAGATGCGATTAAAAAATGGCAAGGGAAGAAGAGAAAAAGAGAATACTGGAGGAAAACCGCCTAAAAGAAGAGGCAGAAAAAAGGGCTAGGGAAAAAAAAGAAGACGAAATACTAGAAAATTCGGGCGTTGTGACAAGTGCGGGAACGAGTACGGGAGTGAGCGGCACTCAGGTAAGTGGAGAGCATGACGGACGGAACAGTGAGCCCAAACACTCAGAATCACAAAACATGATAACGACAACGACAACCAAAGACCTGAAAAAACAAGTAAAAGACGCAGTGACACGGACAACACCCGAGGGACGGGGAAAAATCGCGTTCTCTATGAAATAACAAAAAACGGTCATCGCAGCCATGGACGAAATTACAAACTTATACACGGACATACTGACTCTCCTGCTAGTGCAAGAGACGGAGATAAACAAACTACAAAAAGAAAACTTTATACTGAAACAAAACGACAAAAACAAACGAGACAACAATACGACAAACATAGACGACAAACTAAACCAAGTCCAATCAAAGATACTAAAAGCAATAAAGGACAACCCACAAACACTACAACCAGGTACCAAGACACCGATACACACGACCCTCTCAACGAATAACAGCGCTACCCCCCATATCCCAACGACAACAAATGACACCGAATTCCCGGCACTCAGACAAAAAACATACGCCCAGCTGGCAAAAAAACCGAGAAATACAGAAAATAAAGACAAAAAACCATGGACAACACCAGAAACATACAAAAAATTCGACACTATAATAAAAAAAAGGAGGGACAACCGGGAGACACCCTGACGGAATTAAAAAAGGTTATTAAAGCTAAAAACATAGAGGGAACACAAATTAGACACACACGGACAGCAATAGTACTGACTTCACAAACCAAGGACAAACAGGACGAAATTTTTAGACGTACACAAACCTCCACAAAACTGAACATTAAAGACAGAACCAGACATAACGAGCCGACAATCATATTGACAGGTATAAGAAAAGTACTCACACATGACGAAATCACGGACGAACTAAAACTCGATAACTACAACCTAGACAACCTTTTTGGAGATAGACTAAAATTATTGACGATAGTATCAACGAGACCATGCAGGAACCCTTACAAGGAGAACGTGTACATACGAGGACCACTTGACATAATTAAATACTTATTGAAATCAGAAAAAATCTACCTAGACTTCCAGACAATTTACGTAAACGAGGCAACTCAACTGGCACTCTGTTTCAGATACTGCCGCTACGGGCATGTAGCCAAACATTGTAAAGAAACGACGCCCACATGTTACAAATGCAGGGACGGGCACGACGGAAATACATGCGACAAGGACCTAGACAAATACAATTGTATAAACTGCGAACGATTACGACTGACACCACGTAGACATCAAGCCAGAGACACAAACTGCCCGATATACACAAGAAAACTGGACGAAGCAAGGGCACAAACACAATACAACTAACAAAAACACAAAACAAAACCCCCAAACAAACAACACACACTCTCACAAACAAACACAAAAACAGACAAACAAGACGAAACAACGAAAAGGGTTCCTGATAACAAATGAAATTTGTCCAATTCAATATGGGACGAGGTATACAAGCAGCCGACCAATTATTAAACAAAATGATACACGAAAACATAGACATAGGACTAATACAAGAACCCTCTCATACACTTAACGGACAACAAGACTTCGATATAATAAATAATGACAGTAAAGCCCCTATACTAATACACAAAAAATGGACGAACAAAACTATCACACACACAGACATGAGAGACACCAACACGACGACAATCACAATCGAAACAAACACAACAAAAACAAAAATCATAAACATATACGACGAACCTGGAGGTGACATTAACAATAGACTAAACAAACACAAACATAAAATTGAAAACACTACATCACAGATTATAATAGGGGGAGACATGAACGCAAAGAACGCCAGCTGTGGAGGCACAATAACGGACACACGCGGAGAAGACATCATGACTTGGGCAGTACAACACGACATGACAATAAACAATACACACGACAGTCCACCGACATTTAACTCCAACCGAGGCAAAAGCTGGGTACACCTCACTATTACAAGACACATAAACATACAAGACTGGGACCTATCAGACGAAGACACCTTAAGTGACCATCAATACGTTACATTTAACACAGACAAATTAAAATACCACCATACGAGAACAAACAAAACTAAATTTAACATATAAAATATAGACAAAAACACACTACAGAGAGAAATAGAAAAATTGGACTGGACAAACAACGAAGACGACATTTATGAAATAGCTAAACAAACGCAATCAAAAATACAACAAGCACTAAAGAACAGCATAAACGACAACACGACAACAAAAAACAAAAAAAACACAAAGATGGTGGACAACGGAACTAGACACACTAAGAAAGGACACAAACAAAGCACGCAAAAGATACCAGATGGAACAAAATGCACACCTACGACAGACCAAACACGACGACTACATAAGACAAAGACGAAACTACAAAACAAAAATTAAAAACTACAAAAGACAATCACGACAAATCCTAACGGACAACTACCCTAACGACCCATACAAAATAATCGGCATTAAGAAAAAACAGACAAATACCCTTACTACAATAGAGACAGAAAACGGAATATGGACAGATGACAAACACGAAACAATCAAATACATACACACCAAATATTTCCCAACAGACGAAATAGAACAAGACCCACAAGAACAACAAACACTCCGACAAAACATACACAACTACGATAACCACGACATACAACCTGAAATAACAATGACACACTAAAGGATATGAAACCAAATAAAGCGACAGCACAGGACGGAATAAACAAGGAAACTTTACAACTCAGGAGCATCAAAAAGTACAGTCTGGGGTTTTATAAACGATTGGATTTGGAAACAATATATTAACTATTGGGGAAGCACTTCAAAACAGGCACATCGAAAAGCTTTTATAGGCAGACCATGTCCCATAAGAACTGCAGAACTATTCTTTATGAATAGGAACCAGTTAAAAGTGATAACAGGGTTCTTGACTGGGCACGCTCCAGTAAAGGGACACTTGAACAAAATTGGCATGTACAATGGGGAACTCATGTGCCGACTATGTCACAAGAAACCAGAAACGGCCAAACACATGCTGTGCGTATGCGAAGCTCTAGATCGCAAAAGACAGGCACTTATTGGACAACCCCAGGTTGATTCAACAACGTATAGAACCCACTCACCCAAGGATCTGTACAAACTTGTACAAGGTACAAAGGTGACAGAGTGAGTCCTATGAACTAACATGGGGTAAAACACAATAAGCCAATAGGCTTCAGTGTTATTTGGAGACATAGTCAGACAAGCCTAGGAGAAAAAAAAAGTATGTGTGTGTATAATCCTTTTTTTTTCTGTGGCGGGAAAAATGTTTGACATTTTATCTCTCTTGTCAGGTAACAAAATGTCACTTTTTATAGAATTACTTTTTTTCTCCGATTCACCGGAAAAAAGTGTTTTCCCGGGAAAAGTTAGTACTAGAATAAGTAAAGGTATATATTTTAGAATATTTTTTCAATAATATATCGTGGTCTTTCCCGTCAGAGGAAAAATAGTGCAATATACATGGGAAAATATTAAATTTTAGTTCTCGGTTTTTTATCTCACAACACAACCACGAGCTAAAATCTAATTATTTTTTCCCTTGTATAATAAATAACTATTTATTGTACATAAAAAGGTAAGTACGTGTACTAAAATTTATTCTTTAAAAAATAATTTATTCTAAAGACTTTCTATTATTATTTTTAAATAACTTTTTACCTCTAATTACTCAGGGGAAATAAGTCATAAAAAAAGATCTTTTTAATTTGTAAGCTGTTTGGATTAAATAAAATGGACAATATACAAATACATTGGTAATATTCATGGATATTAACTGTATTCCTAAACAGGCTAAACTAGCATGGCAAATATCACCGGTTTAAAATAGAGCGACAAAATTTGGCACACAAGGTATTTGTCACTATAAAGTTAACAAAATCATAGTTTCTGAAACTCTATAGTGGTCTTTGGTCAAAAGAAGATAGTTGCAAAAACTATAAAGTTCCAAGAGGAACTATTTCGCTACTAAAATGCCTGGATACTTAAAGTTTTAAGCGATGATCAATGTTTTGACTTTGGAGAATACTTTGAAAAAATATAAATATTTTTTTTTGTGAATAAACTGGGTTATAAGCTCAACGAGAAGAAACCAGCCTTCGCATTTTTGATATTGCAATAATTGTTACACTCATTATCCACACATTTAATATTTTAGATGTTCTTTCATTTTCTTGTGCCGTTTAAACTTTTGTTCGATACGGTCCTGTTGTTAGGTAACCGAGACTTGTAATTGAATGTTGGGTTTTTGTAGATTCATTCATAAAATACTGCATCGAGACAAATTGATAAAAAGTCTAGTGAAGTCAAGTGTCTGATTATTTAACTTTTTGTGAATCTATTTCCATTAAAGAAAGATCGTACAAGTTTATCAATGATTCTTAAAATAATAAATTCAAGGTATTTGAAATATTTCCTTATGTAGGTGCTTTTTGCTTTCCAGGTGTATGGAATTGATTTTAATATGTAATTTTTAAACAGGTGCAACTTTTTATGGAAACAGAACAGCAGATAACTAAAGAATATTTATGATCTTTAATATTACTACATCTAAAATACAAAATTGGCATAGATTAAAAAAAACACAATTTAAGGAAGTACTTATTTTAGATTGTTACCCACATATTAATAACATCCATTTTATTGTCAACGGTATTTTATATAGTTTTAAATTTATAGCAAATTATTTTAAGTATTTAAAACGACTAAAACTATTTTTAACATCTAATTTTGCTAACTACATGCGCTCATAAACAAATAGATTTACGATTGCACACGCCCAGACATTTATTTTTGTTCAAATAGAATTTGTGATTCCAATTTGCTGATGCATCAACTCTTTAAATAATTAGTATAAAATAATAGGTAGGTACTTGCGCTAGGATAGTGTTTACAAACTGATTTTAATTAAAAATATTTCAAGATAAAAAAACGATATTGAGAAAAACAAAATTATACAAGGTTCTACAAAAAAATTGACATATATTAATATAGATAGAAAAGTTTTTCAATTTTTTAAAATTATTAGTTTTCTTTACAAACACAATAGTGATGCTACAAATAAATGCTATATTATGTTACGAGTTCCAAATAATAGTCATATTTAACTTGTAAAGATAACAAATAATGCACCATATTTTACTATTATGATTAAATTATTTACTACCTTCATGATAATAATAATAATATCTATTTATTCACATAAAGGTACTATATTTATAAATATATCTTTTATCATATTGATAGAATTTATTTTGTGTAAATAATCTTTATAAATTTCAGGTATGCCATTATAAATTTTTCGCGATAAGTAATTGTAACAACGTAAACTAATATTTTTTTGTAATAACTTACATTATCATTTTCTTGTTGTACATGAATGACTAACTTTTTCTAAAAGGTTTTTATTATTGTACATATAGTCCAGTAACTGAAGACCTGAAAATATGCAAAGCTGTCATTAAGTCGGTCGAGATTTCCTTTGTGGCTCAATTCTTAGGTCTTCACGGTTGCTTTCCAGGGCGAAAACTTTTACCAACACTGCTGGGTCGAAAAGAGCTCAAAGGCTCAAAGGCCCCTAAAGTCTGAAAAAATGGTTTCTTGCTAATATCTGCCAAAATATACCAATTAGACAATTTTGTTTAGATAAAAAATGAAGATCGTATCATTACCTATAAAAATGGTCCCTACCATTTTTTTCGCAAGACGAATATTTTTTGCAAAAACGGTCTTTGAAAAAGTCCGAATTTTTGCACTGAATAGAAATGTTAGTTTTTCACTGAATTTCCGCTCGAGGGAGTTGGAAATACATTGATTTTCATGTTTTGGACTTTGGGGACCAATTGTACATGGCACCAGCGGCATACCTCTGCTCACTAAATTATGGGGCCTACGAATGGAAATCCGGGCATGTTGAAAATACGAAATACATAGCAATTCTTATAATTTATCATACGTTAAACCATTCAATGTCATCAGAATCATACTCTTCATCGTCTTGCTCTTGCTCTATTCCTTCCCCTCCTCCACGCGTCCCTTCCCCTTGTTTTTCCAACACCTGTGTTGCTGTTTCGACAGCTATTTCATCCTCCTCCCCTTCAACCCCGTCTGGGTCTTGATCCATCTCTAATTCTTCCGGGAAAATACCTTCATTTTTGTTATAATTAAAACACTGTGTCGACTGACACGAACCACAGACAGGCGAGCATTTCAGTCCGGCTTTCAAACATGAACAATTCTTCTTGCACTGACAAAAAATCATCTTCAAGAGTTCCG